AAACGTCCCTCGCGTTATTCTTCCGCCCAATGGCGCGAATTTTGAAACGTCTCTCTCTCGCTCTCTCGTAGGGTATGCTAGGGGTGCGAGAGAGACGGAGCGACGGAGCACTTGAGGTGGCCAACCACGGCACAAAGGGGAGGGTGGCCGAATGCATATGAAATACATTCCACATCCATTTAAAAAGTCGGGAAAACAATAGTGTGTCCGTTTGTGTGTGTGTGTGTGTGTGTGTGTGTGTGTGTGTGTGTGTATGCGCGGGTTGCGTATGGAAACAGCTTCAGAAGAAAGGGGGAGGGCGCACGGCGCGCAAGGCGCATCCGCCGCGGCGCGCGTTTGTGGAGAACGCCGCGCCTATAAATAAACCCAAAGCATTGCACAGTGGGCCAGAAGACCGGCGCCGGCGCGCCACAACTCTAGACGCGTTTTGAGCTCCAGAGTCGCTGAATGGGACTCGAACCGGACGTGTGACCCCACCAATGGATTGCTCTCCGGACGAGGAATCCATCGGTGGGGTCACCCCAGACGAAAAAAAAATCAAGTTATTTCCGAAGTACGTGTGGAGCGCACCTATATTTCTCCCCCTGCCTCCTTATGCTCTGTGCACGCCGTGCACGCAGCCCCTCGAGCATATGACTCATCTAGGCATGCATGGGCCGTACAGCACAACCGCTTTGTGAACGTTCACCGTGTGTGTGTGTTTGTGTGTGTGGAGGTGGGGGGCGGTGGGCGGGTAGGCCGCCGAGGGGGCGGGGCTGTCTACCTGTTCATATCGTACCGTTTTCTACCTGTGTGCGTTCGGACCGGTCCACCGGTCGGTCGGTCGGTCTGGCCGGCCGGCCATCAGGCCATTAGCATCGTCTTTCTTCTTGGCAGTGTGTGTGTGTGTTTGTGCGGACCGACTAATGTAGTTGCAGGCATGACAAATTTCGCTCGACGGCGGAATGCTCCGCCAAATTGGTAATCAAGTCAAACACGAGAGACACGGATTTTGCGGCGGTAAGACTCGTAAGTGTGTGTGTGTGTGTGTGTGTATGTTGTGTGTGTGTGTGAGTGAGTGTGAGTGTATGTGTGGGTGCCGCATGTGAGTTACCTAAGCGTCGGCAGCGCAAAGCCCTCGGGCTGAACCCTACCCCCGAAACACACAGACACACACACACACACAGCCTCCTTTTACATCGCGGCACACACAGCCTGTCGGTCTGACGCCTGGGGGCTTTACTGAAAAATGAAAGAGAAACGGGGGAAGCGGGTCAGGCGGCGAGCAAGTTTCCGAAAGCCCCAAAAAATCGCTCGCAGGAAACACGGTGTGTGTCTCTTGAAGACTTCCCCAGGGCTTGGCCACAGTCTGATCGGGTACGGCCCGGCGTGGCGCGCGTGCTATAGGCCCTTCATGCATCGTGCTCTGGGTCGTGTTGGACACAATGGATGTCGGTTACGCCATGCTCGTGCCCGGCCTTACCTGGGCGGGGGCGTCAGCCTTGCCCTGCCTCGGCTCAGCCCACACAGTGGGCCAGAAGACCGGTGGAGGCGGACAAACTCTAGACGCGTTTTGAGCTCCAGAGTCGCTAAATGGGGCTCGAACTGAACGTGCTACCCCACCAATGGATTCCTCGTTCGTAGAGCAATCCATTGGTGGGGTCACACGTTCGGTTCGAGTCCCATTTAGCGACTCTGGAGCTCAAAACGCGTCCGGGATTGCGGCCGCCTCCACCGGTCTTCTGGCCCACTGTGCGGCTCGACTCGGCCCGGCCCGGCCCAGCAGACCTGAGCCGGCCCGATCCACCTCACTTGACTCCGACGGCTCACCTACCGCCCCGGGCACGAGGAGTCGAGCAAGGGAGGCGTCGTCAAAAAAATAAATAAACTGGGGAGAGAGAAAGAGAGAGAAACGACAAAGAAGGGAAAGAGGTCGAAAATGATTGGTTCGTTACGGCTCGTGACCTCACCTGTAGAGGGACGTGGTGGATTCCTGGGCCCGCAATAAAGTGTGAGAGATTGAGACAGAGAGAGGAGAGAGAGAGAGAGAGAGAGAGAGGAGAGAGAGAGAGAGAGAGAGGGGCCCAATGCAGCCTGACCCGCCGAGATGAACGCTTTTCCGAAGAAGCAATTTGGTCGCCCGGCGCTCTGATTCGGATTAATAACCTCAAGACGGCCTGGGATTGGGGTTCGGTAGAGTACACTGCCAGAGAGGACGCCGCGTGATTCATGCCAGTGTAGGCACAGTTGGCTTTTGTGGTCCGGGAGAAACGCGCCTCCCTTGCCTCTGATAACGTGGAGTAGATTCGCACTCCACCGTTCTTGCCAGTTGTTTTGCTGTCTATGTATCTGCAGACTAACGCCGGCAGAAAGACATATATGGGCCTCATCTGTCGCGGGGGATTTTGCCGCCAAGCCGTGTTCACCTCGCTTCTGTCCTTCCTTTTTCTCCATCCCCCCCCCCTTCTCTCTCTTTCTGCCCTCGTGTTCGCACGGATATCCTTCATACGCACCTTTGCTTTTCGCCCACACAGTAAGAAAGAAACATATTGGGGAGTAACGAAGGTGCCTCTGGAAAAAATGTTGCCGAAGGTTCCCTCATGAATTCACAAATATTCTTTGTTATTTTACGTGGAACCGTCGTGAATTTATATTTTTTTTTCTAGCGATAATTTTGAAAATTCTGGAGATAGTTTTTTTGCGTCGCGCCCTACCCTTTCTTCCCCTCCTTTCCCACTCATTCTTCTCCCTCCCCATCGCACATCCCATCCTCTCTCCCTTCCTCTCCCACCGATTTTCCCTTGCCTCCAGTCCTCCAGTGTGCCCCCTAGCCCCCCGCCTGGCCCATCCAACACCACCCTACACGATCCCAGGCCGAGCAAAGGGGTTAAATTACAGAGTACACGGCCCTATATACGCAATGGGCTTGGGGGGGGGGGGGGGGCTGGAAGGTGGAGGTGGATGAGATGGCTGCAAGTGGGGAGGTAAGATTTGGCTCCGTTTCTGCGTTTTACGGTGTGGGAAAGGGCGTGGCCTTAAGTCATCGCCGAAGGGAGTGAGAGCAACAATGTTACACCTCGGGCCGTCGTGTCGACGGTTTGTCCGGGCGCGACGCCGCAAAGAGCGCAAAAACAACTACAAATCCGGGGGACGTAGTGTCGGCCCGGATTACAGCGCAGGTGCGGCCGGGGAGGGGGGGGGCGGCAACAGTGTAGCGGACATTGCGGCGCCGTTCTTGCAACTCCAAACGAGGCGCGCCACTCCACTTTCAGGAAAACCGTCCGGTCACAGCGCCATCGCGGTCAGGACCACACAGTCACAGGTTTTTACATCAAACACTCTTCGTAAACTCAGAAAAAAAAAGAAATTTTGAAATTTGTCGAAGATTGTGGGCATTTTTGTCCAAAGTAATTGCTTCAAAAATCAAAACATTGCCAAAGAACTATGTAGGGATACTCTTATTTTGGAATTTCTGCTCCGCACACTGCCCCATTTGACTAGGACCACCCAGTATCGCGACAAGTCACAACCCGAGTGACCGCATTCCCCCGCTAAGGCCCCTCAACTAAGATCGGTCTCTTAGTTCGATTGCGAACTAATTGCTTTCAAAAATCAAAAACTGCCAAAGAATTTTTTTGGAGTTTTTGACCCACACACTGCCCCATTTGACTGGAACCACCCAGTGTCGCGACGAGTCACAGCCCGAGCGACCATACCCTCCCCTCCTCAACTAAGATCGGTAACTTAGTTTGATTGCGATCTCTCGGCGACGTATCGATTTCGCACTGGTTTATAGTGCACCTTACGGTTATCGGGAGCAGGGGCCTGCAGCCGCCCGTCGGGCAGGTTAGTGACGGCGGAGTTGTTGACCTCCAAGGTGTGGCGCTCGTTACAGGCATTCTCATATTTCCATTCTGATTATTCCACGCCGTCCTGCAGCAGCGCTCTCTCTCTCTCTCTCTCTCTCTCTCTCTCTCTCTCTCTCTCTCTCTCTCTCTCTCTGTTTTAACGATGGGGGCGACTCATCGCAATACCGCGGTTTACGGTTTTACGACGATACGTCACTGTTGTATGCACTGCGCGCTGTGTAAAATAAATCTTGTCGACGTGTAAAATGCTCATTTCACAGTGGGCCAGAAGACCACGGTCAAAATCCCGGACCATTTTTTGAGCTCCAGAGCCTCTAATCTAACCCCAGGACCCGTTGGTATTTTTACCCTGAGCTAATTGCTGAGATAATTCAAAGTCAGCAAGAGCACAGCAGGCCGGACGCCTGGAGTGCTCCGACTTCGCTCTCGCTCCGTTTGGTCCCTGACTGGTTCGTCTATTCCTTTCTCCCCCCCCCCCCCCCTCTCTGTCCAGGCGACGCCCTGAAGGTCGTAAATTCCTAACGGTTTGGAATGGGTCTGGCGGCCATTGCGTCTGCATTATCGGATTATCGTTATCGCTATTGCTTCATACCGGAGGCTGCTGATATCGCACCCACTCCACTGCAGAGTGTTGTGTTTCTCATTTCCATCCTCCGGGGGCGGAGTCTTTGTCCCCACAGTGGGTCAGAAGACCGGTGGAGCCGGCCGAAAGTCTAGACGCGTTTTGAGCTCCAGAGTCGCTAAATGGGACTCGAACCGGACACCACCAATTGATTCCTCTTTCGGAGAGGAGTCCATTGGTGGGGCCACACGTTCGGTTCGAGTGCTATTTAGTGACTCTGGGGCTCAAAACGCGTCCAGGATTTTGACCGCCTCCGCCGGTCTTCTAGCCCACTGTGTCCCGCGACTCCACGCGCTTAGATTACCTGCCGCCTGTAACGATACTGTGCATTGCCGTGTGGCCGTCCGGTGGGGCGTGGCGCAGTAAAGCCATACCGCGGCACTGTTAAAAATGAGCCGGTAACGGTGCTAGCACACTGTGTAGGCCGCCAGTATGAATGTCTCGATTTGCTGGACAAATAGTCACAGCAGGAGAAGTGGCACGGTGTTGTACTGTTGCGTTTCTGACGTCGTGTTTTGTTTGGTTCGTAGGTGAAGCTCGCCATGCTCCGGTAGCGAGTTCGACGCGGCCACCATGGGCTGCTTCTGCAAGAAGGTGCGCACGTTCCACTGCAAGGTGGTGCTGCTGGACGAGCAGGAGCTGGTGCAGGAGATACAGGTAAGGCTGAGTAACCTGGGTGCAGGCGGCCGAAACTCCAGACGCGTTTCGAGCTCCAGAGTCGCTAAGTGGGGCTCGAACCGAACGTGTGACCCCACCAATGGATTGCTCTCCGAACGAGGAATCCAATGGTGGGGTCACACGTTCAGTTCGAGTCCTGGTTAGCGACTCTGGAGCTCGAAAAGCGTCGGGGATTCTGACCGCCTCCACCGGTCTTCTAACCCACTGTGGGACCGGAAATACGGTCTGCTCGAGGCGTAAGGCCCGAGATGACCGCAGAAAGGGCGGTGACAAAGACACCGTGCCGGGGGACGGGCCCGGTGAAGGGGAGTGGGCACGGCGCGGCACGGCACGGCGGAGAGAGGAACAGCTGTTTCCACCACCAGCCACCTGTCCCGCGCCGTCCGCATTCGGAATCAAGGGGGGGGGGGGGAAAAGCAAGACCCTCGGCCAGCCCAGCCCTGCCCAGCCCAGGCCGCTGGGGACGCCAGACAATGCTGTTCCAGGCTGTGGTGGCAGGCGCCTTGCAGGGCCCCTGCAGGAGCCAGGCTTCCCGCCAGCGGCGCCCTCTCAGGTGTCCTCCGACACTGATCCCTCCGAGAGGCTAATTGATTGGGAAAATTGGTGGAATGGGCACCGGCACTTTCAAAATTTGCAGTCGACGAGTTGAGACAGCGTCATCGTGGATGGCACGGTCTTCGCTTGGAAATGATGGCAGTGTCATCGGGGGCGCCGTCAGTTCTAGATTGGACTCGAATGTGTGACCCCCACCCCAATGGATTCCTCGTTCGGAGAGGAATCCATTGGTGGGGTCACTCGTTCGATTCAAGTCCCATTTAGCGACTCTGGAGCTCGAAACGCGTCTAGAGCTTCGGCCGCCTGCTTACTGTGGGTTGGCAACCCTTTCGACGCTGGTGCGTCCTGGGAATTTTTCCCCGCCAATGTGGTAGGAGTGCGCAGCGGCGACTGTGATCAATTCGCCTCGATGTATCTTCTTTTTTGGTGTGTTGCTTGCGCCCTATTCTGGTACGCGGCGTTGCAGGGCTGCAAGGGGGCGAGGAAGGGGGGTGGGGATGCAGAGGGAGAGCAGAGCAGCGGGACCTTTTCCTTCTGAATGCAGGCAAAACAACGCGGCATACAGGACATGAGCCCCGTCCCGTTTGAGCCCCGATGGTCTGAGCCCTGACCTGAGCCCCAACCTGAGCCCCGACCCAAGCCCCAATTTCCAGAGCCCGGATTGAGCCCCGACCTGAGCCCCGTTTGAGCCCCATTTGAGCCCCATTTGAGCCCCACTTGAGCCCCATAGCAATAAATTATGCAAAAATGCGTGATTTCATCGCGGGGCTCAAATGGGGCTCAAGTGGGGCTCAAATGGGGCTCAACGGGGCTCAGGTCGGGGCTCAATCCGGGGCTCTGGAAATTGGGGCTTGGGTGGGGGCTCAAGTCGGGGCTAAACCCGGGCTCAGGTTGGGGCTCAGGTCGGGGCTCAGACCATCGGGGCTCAAACGGGACGGGGCTCATGTCCTGTATGCCAACAACGCGAAAGCTGGCAGTCAATCAGTGAGACATTCATTCATTCATTCATTCATTCATTCATTCATTCATTCATTCATTCATTCATTTATTCATTCATTCATTCATTCATTCATTCATTCATCGGCGCGCAATGGCTGGGGCGCCACTCATCACGTGCATTAACCCAAAGCTGCCAATTTAATGGTCGTTTTCCTTTCGTTCAGTTTTCCGGCTGTTTACGATTAGAGCAAATGTCTCTCACTTTTCCTCCTCCTCCCCCTCCCCTCTCTCTCCCTCTAACCTAACACACACGCGCCCGCGATGCAAATCCGCGTCGAGCCTTCAGGGGTTTCCTGGAGAATAAGAAAGGCTGCCGGGGAGAGAGAGAGAGAGAAGAGAGAGAGAGAAGAGAGAGAGAGAGAGAGAGAGAGAGAGAGAGAGAGACTCGGTCTAAATTCCCGGCGTTCCCGCGTCCCCGTCCACTTCCAGTGCCACGGCGCCGCAGCAATCCCCGGCACACCTTATTTCTCCAGCCAGACACCAATTATTCAAAGCACACGCGCACCAGCAACAAAAACAACACCAACATTTGAACCCCTTCCCTTTTTTGTCAGTCAAAACATGCTTGCGAGCGGAGAGAGAGAGAGAGAGAGAGAGAGAGAGAGAGAGAGAGAGAGAGAGAGAGAGAGAGAGAGAGGAAAAAGGGGGAGGATACTCGTTGTCAACGAATCGTATCCAACTGCATACAAAAGGCTGCCTTTTTACAGCTATCGGTTCATCAAGTTGACACCGGCTTTGCAGCGAAACTGCAGCGTTTTGTTCCGGGCAGGGTATCTAGAGCGTGCCAGCCTGTGCATGTTGTATCAGAGCGCGTCCACATCCCTTGGTTTCCCGCGACACTGCGATAAGGACAAAGACTGCTAACCGTGTCGTCTTATTGATTCCCCTCGCTCTCCCAGAGGGTTTTCAAGATTGGTAACACCACACTGCATGGCATGCCTTTCTGCAAGCTGAGCGTATGAGAGAGTCTTGCAGTGTGCCCTCCTTGCAGTGTGTCCCTTCTTATGTCTTCCATGTCTGCCTAATGATATTCGAGGACATGCGTGTCCGTCGGTCGTCACGACGGACAGCGCGTAAACACACAGTCTGTCTCTCTCGCACCCGTGTGCAACGCCCCGTGAGTGCGAGAGAGACAGACGCAGGTGCCCCGCGGGCAGGAGTAATCAGGCCCGGTCTAGTAGCGTCAACCATCGGGTACTGAGGAGCCGGGCAGCCAACCTTTTATTGGGTCGAAACCGCCGCGAGTGCCTCAGAGAGATGATGGCGCCCGGGCACGGTGGCACTGACAGAAAAAGTTGAACCTTTCTTTCTGCGAGTGCATGCCACCGACCCAGCCCTGCCCATATCGATTCCTCGCAGCGAGTGTCGACTTCCAGTGCCCCTGCCCGCTGAAGCGTGCGCGGTGTCGTCTGCTCGGCTGATGTTTCCCGGAGACGATACACGCCGTACGCGGTACAGGTGTGTTTACGCATGTTCAACACGCGCCTGGTGAAACGAAGCCAATGCCTATGCATGCGTGCCTCCGAGCGTACGCCCTGACCGTGTTTATGGGCGCGAGCGTTAGAATGCGTTATCGTATGCACTGCTAGGATGCTCTGCGGATGCCTCCACAGTTTCCACTGACTGTGTGTGTGTGTGTGTGGCTGAGAGTACACTGGCTGATCCACACTTGGCGGCGCTTAGGCTTCGAATCGCACGCATTTCCATAACAAAACGTTGAAGGGATGTGAACCAGGTGAGGAGGAGACGCTTCATCCACCCACGAGTTGCTACAGTGTTTCTTCTTCTTCTCCTCCTCTTCCTCCTCCTCCTCCTCCTCCTCCTCCTCCTCCTCCTCCTCCTCCTCCTCCTCCTCCTCCTCTTCCTCCTCCTTCCTCCTCCTCCTCCTCCTCCTCCTCCTCCTCCTCCTCCTCCTCCTCCTCTTCCTCCTCCTCCTCCTCCTCCTCCTCCTCCTCCTCCTCCTCCTCCTCCTCCTCCTCCTCCTCCTCCTCCTCCTCCTCCTCCTCCTTCCCTGCCCCGTGTCTTATGAGTGTGTGCTCCTGAGAGCGTGCGTACATCAGCAGTGCCTTTGGGTCTGTCTGGATGGGAAACGGGGTGGAGAGGCCGTGAGACGGCAGGGCACACTGGAAGGGCATCCCGCGGCGCCGAGAAAGAGTGCGGAGCACTGTCAAAATTTTGGTCGTCACGTGTTGACCATTTCAAGGCTGATTTTTATTTTAAAAATGTCCGAACGTGTGACCCTACCAATGGGCTAGTCGTGAGGAGAGCAATCCATCGGTGGCGTCACACGTTCGGTTCGAGTCCCATTTAGCGACTCTGGATAGCTCAAAACGCGTCCGGGATTTCGACCGCCTCCGTCGGTCTTCTGACAAATCCACTGCGGTTCGCGCCACACGCTGTGCATCGGATTGGAGGCTAATGTCCTGCCTACACTGCCAAGGATGTGTGCGACAAGGACGGGAAGCGAGACGGCCGTCGTGGGAAACTGTGTGGGAGAGTTCCCATGAACGCCGCCGCCAGCGAGCCGCTCCACTGCGAGGATGTCCAGCAGCAAGCTCGCCAAGGCTCACCTCCGCCTCCTCCCCTTTTCAAATTACCATAGGGTTTTCCGGAGCAAAATGCTCGGATTCTCGACATAAAGGTGGAAGAATTGTTAAAAAAAATATTTAAAAAGATGAACCAAGTCCACTAACACTGTAAATATTTTTACTGATCCCCAGTGAACAAGTCATACTCTTTTCTCTTCGTCAAGATTATGATAGTTTTATTAGAAAATCAAGCTATTTTTTTGTCGATTTGATTTTGTTGACGGTGTACTTTCTTTTCGACAGTGTACCACCTTCTTTCCTATCCTCCGGAAATCTCTCCCGGCCGGCCGGACCGATTTCTGTCCTCCCCTCCCCCTTCGTCACTTGTCGACTTCGTCAGTGTTCGGCGCGCGTTTTATGGCAGCGCGGCCCCGGGTTCGAATCCCGCCGCCGCCCCTTTCCGCGAAGGGCGTCGAAGGGGCGAGCCAAGGGCCGGCAGCTGTGACGCACAGTGGGCCAGAAGACTGGTGGAGGCGGCCAAAGTACTAGACGCGTTTTGAGCTCCAGAGTCGCTAAATGGGACTCGAACCGAACGGTTGACCCCACCAATGGATTGCTCTCCGAACGAGGAATCCATTGGTGGGGTCACACGTCCAGTTCGAGGCCCATGTAGCGACTCTGGACAGCTCAAAACGCGTCTAGAGTTTTGTCCGCCTCCACCGGTCTTCTGGCCCACTGTGTGACGCGGACGTCGATCTGCAGAGTCCTTCGCTCTGTCTCCCTCGCACCGCCGCGGGCAGGCCACGGGCCCCGTGAGTGCGAGACAGATGGAGCGAAGGAATGAGGCGGCTGGCGATAGGGTCCGGCCGTGCGGTCATACGCCTGCAGCACGCCCCA